GAACCAGTCAGGCCCCAGGAAGCAGAGGCTGGCACGAGTTGAAGTGCATTCCAAGACTACAAAAGGACTGGCCAGCCTACCATTCGGGCAGATGCTCATTCGCACGAGAGTGTGAAAGTGCTTGTTCATTTGTGCGCTAATGTGGGAGCTGCGCTAAGCCAGAGAGCAGCGCTGAGTGAGATGAGAGAGAGGAAGTAGACGCTGGCAGAGAAGAAGGCAGCCTTAGCTGCGCCAGCACCAGGAAGCAATGTCGTTAGTGGTTAGTAGTAGAGCAGTGAGCAGTATTCAGAGTTGATCCTCATGTGAGTGTTAGTAGTAGGGAGTGCGCATGTGAGAGACGAAGAAGACTGTGTGGAGAGAAGACCAGAATCATCAAATGAGAGATAGATAAGAGAGAGAGAGGATGAGACATGGTGGCTACTTACCTGAAGAGCGCTGAACTTGGTGTGGATGACGAGCGCTGATGAGCGCAGTTGTTGAGACTCTTGATGATTGAAGAAGACTTTTAATCTTGTTGAGCACTGGACAGTTGAACTCATGATTCTCTCTCTATAATTTGGTTGTGATAATTGAGCTGCGCTAACTGGTCTTATTACTCATCTTCTCTTTGTGCAATGAGTGTGACAATGCAGTCCGTGAATCTGTGAGACTTGTATGTTGGCTTGAGCACTCCATCATGTGGTGAGCTTTGAGGCTCATTACAAAACCCTGACCAGCTAGTTAATGAGCCAGCTGGGAGACGATCTGGGGAACAAGTGCAGCATGGCTTTCTGGCAGACTCTTTAGCTGATGGCCTTGCTGACAATTAGACACCTGACAGTTTAGCCAGCTGAAAGACTCGTTAGCTGATGGGCTGGCTAGCAATTAGACACCTGCCAGTCCACACGCTGAATATTTGGAATAGTTGATTACAACAAGTAGAGTCCTCAGAGGCTATATGCCCAGCAACCATTCTATCTCTCTGGTTGAAGATATAGTCCGATGCGATTAGAAAACTAGCGGTTGAATTGACCTGAGCTTATTTCACCACGGCAACCCTGATTTAGCAACTAGGCTGCCTGACTAGCTCACTGACAGGGCTCAAGTAAACCATGGCCCAATTGCCTAGCAGATGTACTCTTTACATTTCTACCCTCACTAGCCTTCCACTGAGCACCAGCTGAGGGGATTATCAGAAGAAACCTGATAGGAGAGTTGCATCAGTCTTGACGGCTAATACTGGTAGCTGATCAGGCAGATTTGATAACCGGAGCAGTGGCAGGATTGATAGAAACAGCCTCTGGGGTCGAACTGCCAAGGTCGAAAAGCCACTAGGAGTGCACATGTCAATGCTTTTTCCCTGAGGAGAGGAGAGGTCAGAGTTCAATCACTTCGCTATATGCTGGAAACGGCTTAGAGTTGGAAGTTCCAAATTCACTGGTCAATCAGCAGGCTCACCATAGTTTGATCGAAGAGGAGCCTCAGAGACTACAAGCGAAGCAACTTTGCCACCTCAAGGGGAGGTGAATGGTGAACGATGGAGTGGAAGCTGGACCAAGAATGTGTCATCATCATAATGGTCATCATCATCATAATCATCATTGTGGTAATCATCATCATTAACAGCATTGAGCCTCCTTGCCTCCTCCATCATCTATTTATTTATTTACGTTTTCTTTTTCAACATCCACATGTAATAACCACACAAGAATGTGTCATCATCATAATGGTCATCATCATCATCATCACCATCATCATAATCATCATTGTGGTAATCATCATCATTAACAGCATTGAGCCTCCTTGCCTCCTCCTGCTGCCCTTCCTGCTCCTCCTCGTCCTCCCTCACCACCTTCCACTATAGTACACACGGTGTGCATGCACCAATCAATACAAAACTTTCTGAAAAAGAAGAAGTCAACTTTCGACTCTGAACGGTTCAACCAACATGTACACCAAAATGATACTCTCTGAACAAAAAGGTCTAAGAAATCATTTAAAAATGTCCAACAACGAACAAAAAACTTGAATATTTGTGAAAAGATTCAAGTTTGAGGACCACAAAAACGTTCAAGAACCAGAATGTTTTGCAATTTGGCAACAACTCCTCAATTTATTAACTTGTTTTGAGAACTTTTGAGTAAATTTTAAAAATTAGAAAAAAATAAATAAAAATCTTTTTAGTCACAATTTTATGTTTGGATCATTCTCGAGAATCTCAACTCTTTCTTCATTTAAAAAAAAAGAACTGGTTCATTTGATGTTATTATTTATGTCATTTCTACATCAGTCCTTTGTGCAGTGCACACTGCACTACCACACACATGTATCGCATTGGTCGTAAGACGATTACTAGATGACCTGTTACGACTTCACCCGCAAAAGAAGAAAACGAAAGAAAGCATAATGATTCATTAATGAACTGTCCTGGGGAGGTCATTCCTGTGTGTGTGTGTGTTATAAAATATCACCACAACTTCCCCTATTCGACCCAGATGAGAAGATCCAAAGGCATAGCAACTTTACCTGTATTGCCGGCAATGAAGCAAGCTCAAGATGAGTCATCCACCAATGAAATTATGAAACAGTTTTGCTTGTGAATTCAATATCTATTCAGAACCTTACCTTTAAACAAGCAAGGAATCTCACCTTTACACGAGCAATGCAACACACTTGAGATGGACCAACCCAACAGTAAAAACAATATGAGACACAATAAATTCGTTATATCGCTTTCTTGCTTATATTTTCATCAGCTAGCATTGGGAGGCCTCCCATTTTGTTTGTTTTTGCAGTTACCTTCTTGCTGTGCCTATCACGTACAACGCTGGCCACGTTGATGAAGGTTGAGCGCCAGCTGCCCACATCCCCTTGTGCCTTTACGGCCCACTTGCACGTTATAAAAGAAGGCAGAGTAAAAGGGTAATTATATTTTGTCTGTTCTCTCAACGACGCTCATTCATATGTGTTTACTAGTGGTACAAGAGAGAGAGAGAGAGAGAGAGAGAGAGAGAGAGAGAGAGAGAGAGA